TCGTACACCAAAACCCGGTTTTGGAAGTAGCGTTGGCCTCCCAGCTGGAGCTGTTGAACGCATTCTTAACGTCGATCGTTATCACGGCGTAATATTGATCTCCTCTCCACTTCTGTTTCGATGCCTTCTCGGCTCTCTCGACAACTGTCCGAATTGCATCCACTTTTGCTCTTCCTTTTCGAAATCCGAACTGTCTCTCCGACAATCTTTGCTCACTCTCCGTGCATTTCATCAACCTGTTTAGGATGATCCTCTCCAAGAGTTTTCCGAGTGTATCCAGCAGGCACTGCTACGAGTTGCTCGTTGGTGACTTCGTCATTATCTCCCTCTCCGGCTCCGTACGATATAGGTGGCGCGAAGGGTGATGATTGCCTCGTTGCAGCAGTAAGCTGGAGGCCGTCTGTTATTTCGCTCCAGTATCCTCGGTATGGTCATGTCACATCCTTTCCCTAACGATTCTGTCAACTCGTCTTCCAATTCAGGTCGCAAGTTCTCGTCCTCTGTACTGCCACAGGATTCTGTTGGCCGATGCCATATCGGATTGCCTGATGGTCACTTTGGGTATATCCTTCACACACTCTCCAATTCATGTTTTCCACCAGCGACGGACTGCAGTCCACATAAAGTGACGTCGATAATGGATTCCCGGCCAGCTCTGCGAAAAATGCTGGTGGTGCCTTTATTGAACAGCCCAATTTCCAGCTTCGCCAGAGCTTCCAGCAGAATGTGCCCTCTTGTGTTAGTACATCTGTTTCCCCACTCCACTGCCTAAGCATTGAAGTCTCCTCCGACGACTACCGGTCTTCGTCCGATCAGCTCTTCTGTAAGTTCAACCAGCGTCTCGAGGAATTGCTCCATCTGCAATATTCTGTTAATTTTGGTGATCACGAAACCTTCTTCTTGAATGGGGTATCTGCCCATAACTTGTATTGCAGCCATTCCAGCTCTATCCGCCACCTAGCTACCTTTATCGAGAGGGACTCGATACAGCTGTGCAGTGTCGCAATAATTGAGGTTCGTTTGATTTACCTCTGTTCTTGTTGCGACAAAACAATTAAAATTTATTTGGAGCGAAATGCTTGAGAATTCATGCTTAAAAACCAAATATCTTCAGGCTGACAAAATCGGGAAAGAAAGCTGTCAAAATCGGGGGTAGACCAAATCGGGAGCTGGCAAAATCGGGAATGCACCGTATATTTTCAAGATTTCTAATTAAAAAAACATTCCAGATGATAGCTTTCTAGCACTTTGAATTTTGTAATGACGTTAGACTTTTTCAAGTTGTTTTTTCAAACGTTATGATTCTGGAACATTGAATCAAATTTGGCCGGGGCAATATAAGTTTTAAGATTCTGAATTTTTGTGAGCTGTAAAAATTTAACTACGAATCACCTAAAATCCTTTCAGAACTGCTTTAGAGCATTTCCAGGCCAAATAGCAAAAAAACAATTGACTTTCAGGCTCGACCTTCTCGAATTTGCATGAAATTTTATTATGTTTGTTATGGTCAATCATTTAGCAATGAATGTGACTAGATAAAAAGTTAGTGTTAGCAATCTTTCTTGTAATAATAAGTTCTACAACTTTGCTCGAGGCACCAAGGCATTATATTGTTATTAAAAAAAAAATATTTTTTAGATTAATTAAAAAACGCATAGCGCTAAAATTTAGACAGGTAAATTTCAAGAAACTTTCCGGACGACATCATATACTTTAAATCAAATTACTCAAATCTCAAACGATCACGTTTTTTATGGTTTCAGACCACTGTGACCTGTGGCCTGGACTGATTTAATTGCTTGTGGGCTTCGTTGTCATATATAGTTAGTGGCGTCACCCGTCGTTCAGGCGTATTGTGTGTGCCATGAAGTGAGGGTTGGATTCCCGCTTCAACCGGTGGAACTTTTCGCCACCTGAAAATTTCCCTACACTCTGAAAAATCTTCACGTCCTATTGACGTGAAAACATAGGTGGTTTTCGTCCACCCTATTTTTCACGTAACTTTTACCGGAATTGCCGTTCAAAATTCAGCTTCAATTATCTACGTGATTAGTCAGGTAAATAAGACCTGATTTCCACGTACTGCTTACGTGCAATGGGGGTGAAAACTACTGGACATCTGTTTAAATTAATACTTATATCTACTCATAAAATTGTGAAATATTGACTAATTGATTATTATAAGGTAGAAACGTGTATGAGTTTTTTTTTATTTCTGACAAAATATTAACAATTGTTGCAGACTCAAAATGCTGATGTCACCGTCTGAAATTATAAAACTAGAAAAAGGCTACATATAATCATAAATAAATTAATATAAAAGAATCTAATTACCGTCCAACATTTGAAACAAGCGCTGAGGAAATTTTGAAACTTTGAGGATTTCTTCCACCACGCTCGGTGCCGCCATCTTTGATTTTTTTGCGTACCTGTAAATCACGTTAATCTCGTTTCACGGAAATATCGAAGTCCCAAACACACAAACACAAATACACTAAATCTGTTTACGTGAATATACGGTCAATTTCACCAACATTTTTAGTGGACATGACGTGTAATGCATATCAAAGTTACTAACGTCACGTTACATTTGAGATTTTCTAAATACAGAACAGGTACGTGATATTTCACGTAAATCGGACGTGAAGATTTTTTAGAGTGTACATTCCTTACTGGGTGTTGTGCACACTATTTTGAGTCTACCCAGTGTCTGAGTAGACTCCACTCATTATTGCGTCAAGTGTGTGGTTGCTAAAATTTCAGTAAATAGCTTTATTCTGATGAGTTAAAGCTACCCAGACTCTGGGTAAATGGATTTTGTAATATAGATCAAAAATTCAAAATGGCGCGCCAAAGCAAAAAAAAAAATTTTGCGCACAGTAAACAATAAATGTTTAGATGTTCTTTCGTTTATTTAACGTCGGTCTCTGTTCCGTAATCTAGTGCCAATCACCGACGGACATCGATTGCTATCCATTGACGGCAACCGAATGTGCAGGAAGGCAGCTTCCACACCTGCGTAGGATATCGCACCCATTCACAACACACATGGGCCGGGACCAACGGCTTTACTTCCCTTCCGAAGGAAGACGTGACCAGAGATTTTTATGCCTCAGAAAAATCCCACCGACCTCGGCTGGGATTGGACCCAGACCCATTGGGGTGTTAGAAAGCAGTCACGCATAGCACTACACCACTGGCGCTGGCCAAATGTTTAGATGTGATACAGCTTAAAACAGCAACCACGAAACTTTTTGAATAGTGACACATGACAGCAGCTTGTTGGTAAGTATATTGAAAGTTTCCTAACTTTATACTTCCTCTAATTATAAATTTTTCAGGAGTCTAGTGCAGTTTTAGACCTCGGACCAAGCCAGCGACTCATTCATCGATATTGGTTTTGGATACTTAAAGGCTTACAAGTAATCGTTGAAGGAGTCTGTAGCTAACATTTTAAATATTTAATTTATCCAATGCACAGCATTTTTTTGAATAGGGGAAATGGCTCTAATGTTGGTCTATGGATCTAAGATTGGGCCCATCGCTAAAAATCTGCTATTCACCAATTTTATCTAGATGAACGCATCATTGGGACGGTACTAATGGATATTTTTGGTCGCTAATGAAAATTCAGTCGATTACTGAATTTATGTATCGGCTCAAATTAGGGGAATTTAGGCCAACATTACATCGATTTACCCTATATGTTGATTGATTGTATTAATTGTTATCCATATACTATTTGTAAGCATTTGTGAGTATTTATTTTCTATAAAAATGAATTAGCTTTACCCAGCTAGCAATAGTCAAAATCTGAGGAAGCACCCATATTTGAGTAAATACAGGTTTACCCATTTTTGGGTAAATTCCCTTTTGGCCGAACTGAGTGATTTTGAACTCAAAAATGAGTAGCACCAGAATAGCGTGTTTGTTGTCCGTTGTATACATGGAGAAAAAATACAACTTAAAATTTGAGTTCTTTTACTTAATTTTGAGTTGAGCCTCTCACTTGCACTCGTTATTGTTTTCAAAAAAGGAACGAGAGATTCGACCCAACGATATAGTTCAGCCCTGGGTACTGCGGAGTCGTTCGATTTTATTTTGCAAGCCAAAAGAAAACTGCTTGAAAATTTTCTCAAGTTTAAAACTGTTTTGCTCGTTCTCGCTATCGACGTTTGTTTACATACATGTTTCACCAAAGTTTGTTTTACTGCAATTGAAAACTCAGCTGAGTCATAAAAACTGTGCTGGTATAGTATAAAATTTCATCACTGAACCTGCTGGTTTTTGTCTTTGAGCTTAAAATTAAGAATGTGTTATGGAAAAGTAAGGATCATTTTTATGAGATTACAATGCTTAACGATGGATAAGAATAGCAGCTGCATTTGTTGCTTCTGAATGTTTGGCTCCCGTTTGACAGTTCACACTGGCTCCCAAGTGACAAGCACATTGAGTGAGTCCTTAGTACTCAGGTTCAGCCCAATAAGTTACTCTGGAGTAAATTGCGTATTTTCAAATTAACGTGAATTAAACTTAATTTGGGTAGAATATACTTAAGAGTAAGTAATTCTTTTTGGCTGGTGTTAAATGGAAACTACTATATGCGATTTACTCAAATTTGGGTTATTGGGCTGAGGGAAAAGTATTTAATTTTGGGTAGTTTTTCATCTCCGTGTAGTGTTATAAGTGTCTATGCAACCTCTGATTGAGTCAATTCTTTGGTACAAGCTATGGAAATATTTACCTTATTTGACAAAACCCAGGTAATCATGACGTTTGAACAATTGAAAACAATTTGAATGAAGAAAAGAGACCTGAGATTTGTCAAATAATGTAAATATTTACACCGATTGCATCGAAGAATTGTCTTAATTTATCGCTCAATGATACCGGAGTAGAATGACAGGTCGCATATCACAGCAGATCAGCGTTCTGATCGTGTAATAATGATGATGTTTCGAATGAAAGCTGTAACTTAAATCCTATGCCTTGCCACTCACCGGAACTCATCGTCTTGGAGTCGTACAGCAGATCGTTGTCGTGTAGCTGCGCCAGGATCTTGGTGGGTTTGATGTAGACAACATCCGACTTGGATGGATCGTGCAACAGAGGGATTCCTTCGTCGAAATCCAATGGCGATCCCCCGACCATTGCCGTCGTATCATTACCGCCGGCGGCACTCAAAGGCGAACCGTTGGAGCTGCTACTGCCGTCCTGCGGCCTTCGCAGAATGGGAGAATCTGCATCTGCAAATGCAAGTAAAGAATGGACAAAGAAAGGGATTAGCTTAATTTTTCCTGGACAGGCGAAGAAGTAAAAAAAAAAAAAAAATTGGCGAACATATTCCTCAAAGCAACAGCCCAATAAAACTGTTGCTAAGTGATTCATCTCGAACTTCTCGACTGGGAAAATTTACTGCTCAGTGTTATCGTTTTGATGTAGGTCGTTTCGCCTTTTTTTTTTGCTGTGATATGCAAAATTTCTTTGGATGCTCCTTTTCCGAAGAACTGCTTCTTGCCCATGCCTGTCATTGGGGATTTTATTTTTGAACCTAAATTGGATTTTAAGAACAAGCAATCCCTTCCACCCGAGTTCGCCGGCCCTGTCATAAGTAAATTGAAAACTTTTTAATCACTGTCGCGGACAGCGACGAATCTTCCCCGTACTTGACTAATGGTTATGGACGGGCTTTTAATTTAATGGTCTGCTGACATGCCATCCTCCCAGGGATACCACCCTGGTTGCAGATTGAAATGGTCAGAATTTATGGACACATTCGAGCAATAATTCAAGGATCGTTCGATTTGCGTTGCCGCCGTCGCATTCAATTCAATTTGTTCAACATTCCTGTGAACAATAATTAGAATCGTGACAGACCTATTTTCCACACGACGCCGATGTGTAGATAAGCACTCCAAGGCCTTCGGTAGGGCCCATTCCCTACTTTTAGCTGTTTAACACCGTCGTCAATTGAAAAAGAGTACCCTTGAACGGTTTCCCATAAGCCAGCCACGACAGCTTCCTCATGATCCCTTATTGTGTCACATTGAATAAGGCGGGTTTCGCTCGCGCTATATCTGATTCCAGTTGAACGCGGTGGCGTCTCGTCGGGCGTGACACTTTCGAACGGTGCCGTGTGATGGTGGTCACTAAATCAATTAGCTTGGACACCTTCTCAGATCGAGCAGAAAGAAATCTCGATCTTATGCAAATGAGTTCCCCGGACGTGCCATTGTAATCCAAGACCCAGACCTAAGACGCGTTAATCCACGCGAGAAGAGATTTATCGAGGCTTGGCCATTAGGAAGAAGGGAATACGATATGTGGAGTGAATACAGACAAAGTATCGAATTACGAACTGCTGCAGTGAAGCGCAGAAGACTGATTAACCCCGGAAGAGATCCCCGTAAGATCTACGCGACAAAACTCATTAGTATTCCCAATCGTGAGAGGTGCACTGCTTAGAAGAAGGCTTGCCAAGGGCTAAGCAGCTTCTGGTGAGAAGCGAAAGCTTTCAACGCTAAACTAATAAATTACTACTCAACAGACGACGACGACAATGATGATTCGGGGCGACAAAGTTATGAGCACCCTAGCTGCTAGCCTAAACGCCAAATGAAAGAATTGAATAAATTGATTTATTAATCCTGGTGGACCTTCGCCATTTTTTTTCAGCGCGATGAAGTCAGCGTTCAGCTATGATTGTAATTTATGGTGCAGCCTGGTTGGCTGCGAAGAATGTAATAATTTTGTTTATATTGGCATTATGGACTGGATTTACAAAAATTTCACAAGAGGGCATGGGGCTTTCGGTTTCATTTAGCAACAGGATTTGACAGTGCGGTTTGGTCGGTGAGTTATGGGAGGATTTATAGTGACGCGTGTTCTGGTTGTGTGATTTATTTTATGCTGGGAGAACCCTCGCGAACCATGTTTGACGTAATTTAGTAAGTGCTCGATATCCGTGTTAATTTTCCACCTGGATATCACACTCAAAAATATAGTTCTGGAGTGATTTCTAAATGGTTTCTACATTAATTACGATGCGGTGCGTCATCATATTTTTTTTATTTATCTGTGATTGGTCATTAGGCCGAAAGGGTCATTGGTAGAAATTTCAAAAGTGTTTCATTTGTCATAATACGGTATCAGGATTGATATGGTTTATGAAAAGAATGAGCAGCTCTAAAATTAATTTAATATTCTTAAGTTGGATATCTCGAAAGATTTCTAAGGCCTCATTGAGACTTAAAAAGTTTTTCGAGCTACAGAACCATGACAATTATTAGAAGGCTGCTATGCTGAACGCTATGGTTAACACGGTTGAATTTGGTAAAGTATAAACAATTCTTTTAGAAACCATGAGCTTGAAAAAAAATTGGATGAATTTACAGGAAATAAATAAATATTAAAATAGAATTTCGATGAGAATTGGCATAATCCAAAGGTTATTCCGAAGAAACCTCCTAGGGAATTCTGGAAATCGTAAGGCTTTGGGAGGAAAGCTTCAGGAAAGTACTTGGGAAAATTAAAGGTAAATATAATTCCAAGCGGATTGTAAGGAAATGTCCTTGAGAATTTCGAAGAATCTCTGAGAAGAGTTTGAGCAGAGGAGAATTCCAAAAAATATCCAAAACTCCACCATTCCAAATAAATTCTGCGCAATGCTGACAAGTACTTATGCATTCTGACATTAATTTCAAAAGAATTGTGATAAGAATCCGAAAGGAATCTGTACCTGAAGTTGATTCGATTTCAAAGGAATCTTAAAGAGAATTTAATATTTTCTACAGCGTCAAGGAGAGGTTATTCGGCAGTAGTTTTGAGTTGAATTCCATGGACGCTAAAAGTCACAGCATCTGAGGATAGTGTATGGAAGTTTTAAGGAGAAGTCAGCCAGGCATGTCTAAACGCAACACATAAGTCTGTTCCAATTAGTATTTGGTCACTTCTTTTTAATTACTGTAGCGCCTCTAGTTGTCGTAGCAAGAAACTATTGACGGCGTTTTGATCCGGAAGGATTGTTAATTTAGTAATGATAATTCCATCAGGATTCATATACTTGTTCAAAAGATATCAAAGATGGAACGTGACATACGTGAAAAAATTCTGCACACTCACATTTGATGGACGATGACAATTACGTAAAAATGGACTTTGGACAAATCCCGGGCCAAAAATTTTACTTTGCTTAACGTAAGGTGGATGCTCCGGATAAATTCAAATTTGTCAAATTCGCTCGCAAGTTGATGATTTGGCAAGGCATCTGCAGATGCGGAAAGAAAACAAAGGTTTTCATCACTATGAATGGGCAACTTTACAAGGAGGAGTGTCTCCAGAACATAATTTTGCCGTTCATTCAATTACACAAAGGTCCCGTAAAGTTCTGGCCTGACTTAGCCAGCTGCCATTCCAGCCGCGATGTCATAGAATGGTATAAGCAGAATAATGTCGATTTTATTGAGAAAAGTATCAATCCACCAAATTGTCCAGATTTTTGTCCCATTGAAAATTTTTGGGCAGTTATCAAGCGCAAATTGAAGAAATGTGGCAAAACAATCAAAACACCATCTGATTTGGAGAAGTGGTGGAAAAGGATGGTAGATGAGGTTGACAGTACTACTGTGAAAGACATGATGAGAGGTATTCCGCGAACAGTTCAAAAATTCATCCGACGTAAGCGTAAGCTGACGAATAAATTTTGTTGTATTTTTCGCTTAAAGCTAAATAAAAATCATACAAAATGATACCTTTAGCGTTTTTTTTACTTTATTTCCCCTTTCCCCAAATTCTAAATAGAACAGACTTTACACTGCGCAGTGGTGAGATTTGCCATTGTCATTGACAGACTTTCGCGCGATATTGACAAAATTGTTCTTCACGTAGTCACTGACAGACTTGATCATCAAAATCGCATTCATTTTTCGTCAATGATAAAGATTCACCTGGTAACAAAAATTATGATTTCGTGCATTCTGTGTCATATTAATGTTATCCAAGCAGTTCAGGACATAGATGTTTGTTCACATTAACGGCTTCAAGTAATTGTGTTGCTCAAGTCATTTAATTTCGTTACAAATTTAGCTAATGCAAAATCTACTCTTGCTCGTCATTGAAAGCATTGTCATTGACAATTGACATGGTTTGCCTTGACCAGGACTGTTAGCTCAAATGAGTGATCAAAGCAGCATTGTCAATATCACCGTGTATTGTCGAGATTTTGCAGCACTGACACTGCGTACTGCCTTTTTTACACACCAGCAAGAGCATTGCGTTTTACGCTCCGTACCAGTGCTCGATAGAAAACACCCAACGTAGCGAACAAGGCACCCGAACAAGGTGCCCGTGCATAATTGTTTGCACCGGTGTATGGATGCCTCGGCAAAAGCCGAGTGTTTCTGACTTCGGCAAACACCGCAGCCGAGTGTTTTCGATTTAAGCTGGGTTTAGACTAGGAAAGTCAAATGATCAACTCCGTTGAATTCAATTGACTTGAAAAGTTGAGCCTGGTTCAACTTTTTTCAATTCAAGGGAGTTGATCAAGTCAGTTGAATGGCTTGGTTTACACGTTCAATTCGCGTTCAAGTCAGTTGAATTCATCTGAGCTGATCATTTGACTTGCCTAGTCTAAGCCCAGCTTTAGGAAAACACGCTTGCTGCTCGTATACGCATACCTATAGGAATTTTCTTTGGGCGACTTATGAATGATTATCGTCTTACACAAGGTAGCTCTTATACGTCTTTAGCATCTTCCATTTAACAAGAGCTGATAGACGAGTGGTCTCATAATATCAACGTCCATGGTTCGATTCCAGTCTGTCCCTCTTCAATATCGTTTGCCAACAATATTTTCATTATGCCTTTGGCTAAAAAGCATTGCGTAATCTTATGAATCTTATGAGCTCAAGGGATCATCTACCAGGATTATTAAAAATACGCAAATCACCCACTTCGGAAGAGCGTGATCCTGTTGCCGCCCAACCACTGGTATTTCTTGACTTTATATTAACTAATTGGGCTGATTGAAAATCGGCCAATCAACACGAGAGGGATTTTCGAACAATATAACATTGGAACACAGTCTAAGGCTCTAACAGTACTATCAGGTAGAGAAAATTTTCCCCTATTTGATAGCAGTGTTAGTATACGTGGGCGAGCTACTAGTTACGCAAAATCGACGATCAAATGCATTGTTTACAAAAACCGATACGTCCTTTCGAAAACGTAATTGAGATTTGGTGAATTT